GCAGCCTCAGATTTTGAAAAAAGAGATTTGGTTTGGATGTACGTGTATAAAACTAAACATTTATCAGTTTAAATTAGTTTATTTGTTAACTATTCAGTGACAGCAGTGACAAATCACTTGCTGGCTACTGAGAAACAAGAGAAGGACAAGGCTTGGGTTGTATGTGCGTGTGTTTGGGGGGGACACACAAGCAGATTAAGGTCATACTAAAGCTCCATGTTTTTCTGCTCCGTCTCAAACATACTCGATGCTCTGACAAGGAAAAGGGAGCAGCAAGACCGCATGCAAGCTTAGCTCATGTTAACTATTCAAGTCGTTTGGCTTCTGAGTAACGTGTGGGAGAGAACGTATATACTAGAATCTGGAAAATGCACTTAAAATAATTAAAGTAAACATATGCTGTGACTCTGTAATTGTCTGTAACACTATGTACTATCATTAGGTTCTTATGGCTCGTACATTAATAGAAAAGCAGGACTTTACTGTTGTTGATGTTGTTGCTTTTGAGCCAGTTGGTATCCAGCTGCAAACAGGGGATCATTTTCCACATGAATTATTCAGACTACCATCACCATTTCTCTAATGACTGCTTGTTTCTAAAAATACAGAACATGGTGAAAAAAGCAGACTCCAAAGAAACCATTACTCTCTGGTGTTCATTTTGTCCAACCAACAATTCAAAATTACTGAGTGACAAAATCCTTAAATTCTCATTTACAGTTCACCATTTTATGTAATTACCAAATCCCTGCGTGCATTGCAACCTTCATATTACGAAACCAGTTAAAGTGGTCAGCATAAGTGGACACTGTAAGTCTCAGCTTCTGACTGGAGACGATTTTCAGGGTGACTGGGAGTGCTGCTGCTTTCAGGACACGACGTAAAACCTTTTCTCCCGACTCCTTATCAGGGGCTGGTCCCAGCTTTTTGTGTTATTTTGTATTGTTGATGTCTTATGTGATAATGTTTAGTTCTAGTATTTTATTAGTTTGTCTTGGTTGAGTTTTAGTCTGGTTTATGTTTTTTCTATGCTTCCCCGTCAATGTAGCGTTCCCTTGTGTCCCTCTCTCGCTCCCTCGGTCTCTTGTGTCAAGCTTGCTTGTCCCAGTTCATGTCTTTCCATGTTTCCTGTTTCATTTTGAACGTCTCTTGTTTCTATGTTCAAGGTGCTTAGTTTTACTTTCCCCCTCATGTCATGTTAATTTGTGTCAGCTGTGTTTCCCCAGGTGTTTCCACTTCCCT